ATTAAGGGAAGGGGAATTTATTGTAGTTAATTTGTATGTATCCAGGAACTGCTTCGACGCTAACTATTTACCTGACTGCATTTATACTAATCCTTCACTGGTCATTGGGGACCTTAATGCTCGCTGGCCTATATATTTACTACCCACTACCCACAAGCCTTGGGACAGTGGGTAGTATTAATGCTAATGGGGTCAAGTGGTTACAGTTTCTACAAGATCATCCAGATACCTGTCTCTTGGGAAACAATGAACCAACTCACATCAGGGGAGGACGGCTTGACTATGCCTGCGTTTTAAACTCTCAGGGGATTATGGGGGAGGCTCGGGTTGTTCGGGAACTACTTAGTGACCACTTTGCCTTGAACGTTGAATTACCACTGGGGAAAAAACAAGTCCACTTTCAAAGGAAAAGGCTAAATATTAATAAAGATATGAAAAATTATTTTATTAAAAATATGGGAGATTGGTATCAACATTACACGCCGCTCTGCGTTGATAGTTTTTACGAGGATATGGTCGAGAACATAGAGAAATTAGTACAGAGGGAAAATAACGGGGGCAGGGGAAGCAAGACGCATGGACCTAAGAAATTTAAATATTCCAATGATCAGCAAGTCAAGGGGTGGGAGAGAATGCTACGGAGTGCGCATAAAGAATGGCTAAAAAATGGAATGAGGGATGAAGAGAAAAATACAATGTTGGAAGTGGCTAGGGAATGCAGTCAGGTGAGGAAGGAGGCGCGGGACAGATACTGGCAAGACTTTGCTCAGTCCATTGGTAATACTAAGAACCTTAAAGACATACGGAGAGCAGTAAATTAAATCAGGGGTTGTAAGACCAAATTCATTGCTCACTCAGATCCAGGGAAGGTTGCTAATGAGTTAGTAGATAAATGGGCTAGTGCTGCTGGTATAGAGTCCTTACCTGCAGACACGAGAGTCACCATTGAGTCATGGGAAAATATTAGAAATGGAGTAACTTTATGTGCTTTAAATACAAGATCTACAACATACACTAAGATAACTCACGATGAGCTACTGGATGCTATAAAAAGTGGCAGCTCTACTGCTCCGGGAAAAGATGGAGTAACGTATGACATACTTAATTATTTAGCCGGTATGAAACCTAGTCCCTTACTTGATTTGTTTACCTAGAGTTATAGGGAGGGAAAGTTACCAAGAAAATGGAAAGAGGCTGTCATCATTCCTATCCCTAAGTCAAACGGAGGCTACAGACCTGTCTCCTTAATATCCTGCTTTTGTAAAATGATGGAAAGGATTTTGTTAAATAGGCTACTCTACCTTGTAGGTGATAACATGTCCAGTAATCTCTTTGGTTTTATCAAAGGCAAAAGTACTGCGGATTCTCTCTTAAAGTGTTTGTCTAATGTGGATGACAATTGTAGAGTTTTTGTTGATCTACAAGGAGCATTTGATAAAGCCAATGGGGAAGTAATTTTATACGAATTAGCCAATCTGGGAATAACAGGGAGATTGCTACACTGGATAAGGGATTATCTACAAGGCAGAAAAGGTCAGGTGTATTACCAGGGATACATGTCTGAGGAACGGAGGTTTCAGTTAGGTACGCCACAAGGGGGAGTATTAAGTCCCACTTTATTCAATGTATTAATGAACAGATTAGCATCAGAGATGTATCCTCCAGGGGTCACGACGATCATATATGCTGATGACATTCTTATACAAGGCACTTCTGGGAACAAAATTCAAACTGCTCTTAACATACTTGGTACAACCTGTCACAAGTTAGGCTTAGTTATAAATGCAGATAAAACCAAATATGAGTATAGGAAACGAAGAAATATAACACTTACTCTAAATGGTGTGGAACTGAGTCGTGTTCAGAAGTACAAGTATCTGGGCATGTATGTTGGATACACATGTGAGTAAAAATGCTGAAATAAATCATATCAGCACCTTATGTAAAGCCCGTCTGCATCCTCTAAAAGCACTGGCTTTTTCTGGTAAAGGTGTTGGGGTACCTATCTTGCGGATGTTATACATAAGTACTGTTCGGTCCCTGATAGACTACGCAGCACCCGTATTGTCTTACACAGGCCAAGGCAGAATTAAAAAAATAGAGCTGATACAGAACGAGGCTATGAGGATTATTCTTGGATGTCAAAGAAATGCAATGATTGAAATAATGAGAATGGAATTAAATTTACAGTGTGTGTGTGTGTGTGATAGAGTCCGTGACATTAACACTAGAGTATCTATTCGTTTCATGCGGAGAAAAGGAGGGGATAAGCTGTTTGAGAGCGTTCAGACCTGCCTGAGTGACGTACACACTTCCAGGAAACTGAGGGAGACACGCTACACGAGGGGATTAGCTCATGACCTCAGGGAATACGACGTACTTGACTGCTGTAAACCCTCTCGACAGTGTAATATGTCTGCTCCCTGGAAAGTACAGAAAATAGACGTCGAAATTGTACCCCTCAAGGTTAAAAAGATTCATCATGAACCGGGACAATTACGGTGTTTGTATGGAAGCATGATATCTCGGTTACCAAGAGGCAACAGTTTACATGTATATTGCGACGGGTCGGTGGGGGAGGATGGCAGGGCAGGGTGTGGTGTCCTAATAAGGGAATATACAGAGTTTGGGACTGTGGACAGGATAATTGAACTCCGGCTTAGTAATTATATATCATCCACACAAGCTGAACTGCAGGCCATTCTGGCGTGTTTGGAGGAAGTACGTCATGACGGCAAAAATGTTTTTGTATTTGTCGATAGCCGAGGAGCACTGGAGTCCTTAAACAGTCGAAACCCAGTCTTCATGTCTATAGTTGAGGACTGTAAGAGAAGAATAACTGAGATACAGCTGAAAGGTTATAGTGTGAAATTCATGTGGATTCCATCTCATGTTGGAATGGTGCTCAACGAGGTGGCGGATGACTTGGCCAAACGTGCCACATCAAAACCACAAGTTGACATTGAATGTGAATTCACAATGAGACAAATAAGAAGCAAAATCAGAAATATTCAGGCACAGGCGGGAGTGGAGAGGAGAGAGATAATGTATGAGAGAAGTCAAACCATGCAACACTACATGTATGCGAGTCAAAACACCCATTTCACTTATGGTAAAAGGAGAAATGCTTGGAGTGACTCTGTGTACATGCGGCTCAGGCTTGGGTACAAATATTACTGGGAATGTGGGATAGATGTTCATGATAATGACACGAAGTGTAAACTATGTGGTATGTTAAGGTCTCACACCCTGGCCCATTATGTTCTTGATTGTCCGTTGATTAATGTATATAGAAACACTGAGATAAGGACTGTTCCTGAACAAATAGCCTGAATGTGTCACAACGGAAAGGTTGATGATATTCTTGAGAGATATAAGAATTTTGCACCAAGATTGTAATATTTTGTTGAATTATCTGCATGTCTCTTTCAAATTGTCTATACAGTATACCTAGGTCATAAAAGTATTTGTGTGTACGTCTGATAACATACTACTTGTGAAGGAGGAACTTTGTGTGTGTATCTCTCAGAATGTTTGGTAATATGTTTATTTGTGATGTGTGTCTATGTATGTATTAACACGTTGTACTGAATGGGGTGAGAATAGCTTGAGCTCCCTCATCCCTTTGCGTGTATTTTACCTCAATAAACTTATTTCAATTTCAATTTCAGTACACGGAGTGGTTTCCGAGACCAATTTTCCTGACGTTATTTGACATGTTGGCACATTTACTGTGTATGGCTGAACATAGGTGGCATTGGAAGCGCTGGTCGTAATCTATTTCCTTGTTGCATTATGCACATCTTTACTAAAGGCATTCTGACCATAATGCTTCTGGTCAGTGGTGGTGATAAGGCAGTGGACCGGTAGTTGTTAACCAGTGGTAAAGGGGGGGGGGGGCGACCCTTCACAGCTTACCGAGTGTGTACACAGGCAAGCCTTGTGGCCGCTGTACCCGTTCTCGCAAATTTAATAAGTCAATATTGACTTATTAGTTGGGTGCATAGGTGACATACTAAACATAATAGTTCCCCTTGAAAAGCTTCATGGAATACACTGACCTTACCTAACCTACTTAGTATGTTAAAATAAGCATCTTATAGCTTCGTAATTACAATTGTTACTTAACCTATTATAGGTTAGGTAATAATTGTAATTACGAAGCAATAAGATGCTTATCTTAACATACTAAGTAGGTTAGGTAAGGTCGGTGTTTTCTATGAAGCTTTTCAAGGGAAACTATTATGTTAAGTATGTCACCTATGCACATATTTAATAAGTCAATATTGACATATTAAATTTGCGAGAACGGGTTGGCTGTACACAGGGTCTGGTCTGTGTTGCCTCACTATTCACTGAATTATACATTCCAAATTTTCCATGTGGCATTTTACCTACACTTTCAAACCTTTATGCCTGTTGTTTTACCGCTCACTATTTACCGTATCACTGTTCACTATAGTCCAAGAATACAGAGCTAAATATATGTAGACAAGGGCCTTGTGTAGGGCTTCATGTAGGCACTACGCTCCCACGTGGACTGATTGTGGTGGTTCTTCTCTATTAAACACAAAGTTCTAGTGACATCACTTTTTCTTTCCTAAATGTGGTTATACACTGTGTGATAACTGATCAGTGTTCCATCACTGTACCCCTAATGTGTCAGAGTATATTGAAGTATATTTGTGGAGCGCTCAAACCCACAACCTTCCCACACAAACAACTGGTCAATACAATACAAAGATGATTGATGTCAAAGGGTAATCTTCTCTTGTGTTTATATCTTTGAAAAAAAAGAGTTTATTTAGCACCATCTGTGGCACATAATAGTCTCAGACTTTCTATTGATTAGTTTACAAATCATATCAATTCTCCATTTTAATTTGGTTTGTCAATCATTACTCCTATTGCAATAAAAATTGACTGATTCACAAGACCAAAGGAGTAGTAGTCTTGCAATCAACACTTTCATTGTCCAAATGGCCAATAAAAATTATGAGTGGGTTTTATCTCTTTAATGCAGAATATATATTGAACAATATTTTAATGTCATAAGAGATTTATTTCAATATTTATAGCAGCTTAAATCGTGAATCAAAATGGATAATAAAAATCTTTTCACTATATACACTGATCACCCATAATGCTAACAAAGGAATGCTCCAATGATAAAAATGTACTATCCTGTATTTAGATATTTCTGGAGACAATGGTCCTACATGTGGGTGTCTAGACAAGTTTCTCATTAAACTACGTAACACCTTGAAAGCATACTCCCACTATTAAACAAATAACTGGCTCTCAATGCAGCCTTAAATGTATTAGTTCGTGACAATACCCTGTCATAAAGGTACCTCATTTTTGCCGTGCACCAGTGGGAGATGTTCATCGTCACTACTTACTTCTGCTGTAGTGTTGAACCAACACCATAATTTGTAACAAATTTTGCATGATGGTAAATTGGTTACAAATACAATGCTAAAAATTCATTGGGCATGTTACATAAAGCTCCCCGACACATGTGATCCATACTTACCCATATCTGCACCGTCACGGACATTTCTTAAAATGGAATACTATAACCAACTTGGTTTTTATAGAAAATTGGGAATGCCTACTTTGTCTCTAACAGAAGAAAGAGAAAGAGGAAAAAAAATAGTAAATGGTGGTTAAAGAGTATTTTCTAGTCTTAACCTTAACAAGTGCTTTAAACAACTTTTACCGCTACTGTGTAGATTAAGGTAACCTAAATCGTGAAGATAAACATTCAGAAAAGTGGAAAAAATAAAGGAAATGGAATGGAAGCAATTTTTTATATCCATAACAAGCAAGACCTTCCAAGTTATTTACCAACCAAATATTCCAATGTGTTTGATACCGAGTGATACGATGAAAACTGAAACCCAGTTATTCTAACAAGTAACCCAGTAAATATAAAGTAAGATCATGAAAATCCAGAAAATTGTGCATTATAACAAAGCTGCATAAAGCTCTAGTCAATCTCATACACGTTGGTTTTAAGTTGCGTTTCATGAGAGTATGTCACGGGGGCTCCATCTGATGTGCTCACCACCCCCAGTACCTACAAGAAAAATGTAAAATACCATGAATTAATTAACAAATTAGGATTTTATTTGAAAATTAAAAATATTACTACTAACACACACAGTATACCTCTATTAGGATTCAATATCAAGCCTCCCTCTAAAACTTCAGTTAAAACAGAAAACCAAGAATACAAGTAAGAAACCCAAAATAGGCAACTGTGCGTCTTGCAAATATTCTGCATAAAAGTGAATGTCATACGATTAAGAATTAGAGGCCCTAGGCTGCACTTAATTTAGGACTTAAAATAGGAATTATTTTTCACCCACAGGGTTATAAACCCAGGGAACTGCCTACCCCTGAAAGCAGATAATGCCAAAATTCTGTTGAACCATAAAATCCAGCTTGAAAATCCACCAGGACAAATGTGGGTACCTTTGACAAGTTGCCGGCTTCCTGCCCTCCTCGAGGCCACTAGTGTCAAGTGGCCCTTGGATAAATTCAAGTAAACAGAACTCAAATATAACTACAGATAGGCACGCACTCAATGACGTCTTATCAGTCACACTCCCCTCTATGGTGCATCTACGGTATACAAGTGAACCCCATTTAACATTGCCCCAGTTAATGTCATTCCATTGTTGTGTCATTAGAAAAATTAAATAAATTTATCTGCCAAAACAGGTTTTTTTTTGTTTTTTTAAGTTTCCAATGTAGGACAGAAAATTATGTGGAAGCCTATGACACTAATATAAAATGAAGTACAGTATATAAGGGATAATGACAACAGACAACCATATGCGTATGCAATACTAAATAGGAAACTTTATATTTACTGAAAATAATAGCGCAAAATACAGTACTATACATAACAATTTAGGCCACTCTCAGGGTAACATGATCCTAATGACTGGCCAGCTGCGATGGTTAAACACCTCAATATTTAAAAAAGGAAAAACCTGGATATTTACTTGGATATTTGTCATGGTCTGAAAGCATATTACAATTCCAATAACAGTCTACTTGTAAACTGGCAAGTGGCAAGTGAACCTTTGTCCGTAACATAATATACGTAGTCTCAAGTTAGAACATTATTGTATAAATCATTGGTTTAAATATGAAGTCTATGGTCTATGCTTAACAAGTTTTCTTTGAAATGGCCTCAAGAATTTGGTTTTCTGTTAAAGAAATTTTAGGGAATATTCAAATTTCAGATTCCACATAGACGAGAACACCACACCATACAGGTATTAAAGTATCCAAACCGAACCTAACATAACCTTAACCTAACCATAGGCAGAGTACATAACAGCACTAATTATGTAGTGGTTTTGAATTTATTACCTCCAGGGTGCTTTCTCCCTGAGGACAGGTTGTAAAAATTATATAATACTTTATTGTATAATACAATACAACCATATACTGTACCTATGTTAACACATTATCAAGTGAATTTATCTGCTGCCAAGACAATTTCATCACAGACAAAGCAGCAAGGTGTAGAGTTCCATGCTTGCTATTATTAGTACAAAATTTACTTGGACAAGAAGGCATGATGGGTAAATGGCCTATAACAAGTAGTAATCCTAATTATTAATTACTAGACCAAAGAAACAAAAGGAAAAAATATCGTTAGAAACTACGCTAAAAAGTGGTACGACAACGGTGAGCGAGCGAAGAATGGCCAATCATCTTTCCCAATACCCAGGGAATGTAACCCTTAATTAAAACACTGGGCCTAAGAGGTTTTTTGTTTCGCTGAGCATCATTTCAATTGAAGTCACAGTTGTCAGGAACCTAATCCCGGCGTTAAATGAGGTTCACCAGTATTTCAAGATTTAAAGTCCATGCTACATTTTGTCACCTATTTCTAACACTTGCCTTTGTATAAGCAGATGACATCGTACAACATAAAAATTTAACTAACCTTAAGGTCACAGTAGGGTCGAGGAGAATTGAAGCTGACACGCACTGGGAAGAAATTGTCCGGAACACCACGAGCCGTGAAGTCCATGGATGCAGTGGGAGAACCCTTATCAATAACCGGTATGCGCCACACCAGAGCACAGTGGCTGCGGTCGTACTCGTGTTCACCCTCGCACTCATTGATGACAGGAGGAGGAGCCCCAGAGGCCAGAGGGATGGTTATGGTCACCTCATTCAATTCCATGTCTCTCTTCTCCAAATTGTATTCTATGTTAACGTCACAGCCTCCTGTACCATTCTCCTGAGGCCAACAGTTAACTGTGGGGGAGGAGGGGGGGGGGGGGAAGAAAAACAAAAACCTTTAAAACAAACTAAACCACAACATCCATTTAAGTGTACAATACATCACTTAAGGTTATTCCATACAATGACTTCCAAGAAACTCGGTCTTTTCTCAACTACTTAAAAATTATACGTTATTAACCTTTACTTTTACCATAATCATACTCGCATAATGCTTCTTATTTCAAAATTAACAGTTATGTGTATCTTTAAAGACAAAGTACCCAGTCATTTTATTGACTGGGTATTTGGACCATCAAGTGGTGAGCAAGGTGGTGATGGTGGTGGTGAGCAAGGTGGTGGTAGTGAGCCAGGTGGTGATGGTGGTGGTGGTGGTGAGCAAGGTGGTGGTAGTGAGCCAGGTGGTGATGGTGGTGAGCATGGTGGTGGTGGTGAGCATGGTGGTGGTGGTGAGCATGGTGGTGGTGGTGGTGGTGGTGAGCCAGGTGGTGATGGTGGTGGTGGTGGTGAGCCAGGTGGTGATGGTGGTGGTGGTGGTGGTGGTGAGCAAGGTGGTGGTAGTGAGCCAGGTGGTGGTGGTGGTGATGGTGGTGGTGAGCCAGGTGGTGATGGTGGTGGTGGTGGTGAGCAAGGTGGTGGTAGTGAGCCAGGTGGTGGTGGTGGTGAGCAAGGTGGTGGTAGTGAGCCAGGTGGTGGTGGTGGTGAGCAAGGTGGGTGGTGGTGAGCCAGGTGGTGGTGGTGGTGAGCCAGGTGGTGGTGGTGGTGAGCCAGGTGGGTGGTGGTGAGCAAGGTGGTGGTGGTGGTAGTGAGCACATGTATCTTTGTAAATTAATTTAAAGGCTGAAGCGTGAATAGCTAGCTAATATGGTAAAATCTTCTTATATACATTTTCTGTGATGAAACAAGATGAGTGAGGGTGGACAGATAAGGGAATACTGTACAGTAAACCTCACTTTACAGTGAGGTTTCACTCACTTTCGTCTGTGTTGTCATAGTTCAGTGACCCATGACTTTAAATGTTTCACATTAATAAATCATTTCTAAAACTGGTGTTTTAATAACTTTATTATCCTAATTAAACTAAATACAGTAAAACCAAAAATATACTGTAATATGATTGCTATCTGCTATTTGAGAAATTATTCACATTATTGGCAGCACAACTCCAGCACGAGTGGACGGGTCTAATCCCTGTCCACAACACCATGCTTGTTTTGTTCGATTTCATCGCAACAGTTCAGTGACCTACGGCTTCGAAATAATAAAATTAATAAATCGGTTCCAAAATAAGTATTTTTTATAGCTCTTATTACCGTAATAATGTTGCTAAACTAAATATATAACCCAAAAATATATAATTTGATGTAAATCGAATATTTAAGAGAGATTTATGTTACTGGATCTGGCTTAAACACCAGCCGACTGAAGGGTGTACGTATGGACTTAGTCTGCGTTCGTACAGTATGCACCCAGTGCCCTTAGCTTTGTCTGCGATTGACGAACAGTATTTATCCGCCGGTGGAAGAATAATTGTGGAATTGACCATTTCTTTACTACAGCTCTTTGGTTATAGAACAAAATGTCTCAGGGGCTTACTAATAGTGCCTTATTAATGCCAAAAATGAAGCAATATTTTGCAAGAACTAGTAGCAGAAAATCAACTAGCACGAGCACAGCCGTACCCAGCACGAGAACAGCCGTACCCAGCACGAGAACAGCCGTACCCAGCACGAGCACAGCCGTACCCAGCACGAGCACAGCCGTACCCAGCACGAGAAGAGCCGTACCCAGCACGAGAACAGCCGTACCCAGCACGAGAACAGCCGTACCCAGCACGAGCACAGCCGTACCCAGCACGAGCACAGCCGTACCCAGCACGAGCACAGCCGTACCCAGCACGAGAACAGCCGTACCCAGCACGAGAACAGCCGTACCCAGCACGAGAACAGCCGTACCCAGCACGAGCACAGCCGTACCCAGCACGAGAACAGCCGTACCCAGCACGAGAACAGCCGTACCCAGCACGAGCACAGCCGTACCCAGCACGAGCACAGCCGTACCCAGCACGAGCACAGCCGTACCCAGCAGCCAGCACCAGCTCAGAAGCTGCTGAACCCACAGCAGCAGCGAGCATTAGCAAAGCTGATGCAAACATCTAAAAACATCGTGTGCGTTGCGAACAGTTAGAACAAGTGTTAAATTTAAGTGTGTACATAGTGTTAAAATTAAAGTTGCAGTAATTTTAGTGTACAATAGTTTTCATAAACTGTATTGTAGTACTCAACATACAGCAGAACTACTTTTAATCAACACAGTGCTAAAGGCATAATGCACTACAGCACGTATTTACTGTAGAGCATTCACAACTTCACGAAACTTCAAGATGGACATAACTCCAACAATAAGGTAAGTTTATGAATTACAGTATTTTTTAGTAGAGAAGTAATATATAGGTACAGTATGTAATATGATAATGCATTTTTATTGTGTACAAGAAAAAAAAGACCGACACAAACGCCTCCTGAAGGTCACATCTTGCAACGAATCCAACGCTCCAACGTACTGGGGTTGGTCCCATATAGTACGTTGAATCGAGGTTGTACTGTACTGTAAATTAATAAATTGTAAATAAATAAATCCCGCGAGTCAGTTTTCCCCACAGCGGATGCTCACCTCACGACTTTATTGCATATTTTTATTCGGACTCCTCACCTCACCAGTTTATTGGACTTTTTCTTTGGACTAACCAAAAACAGGAAACAGTATTCTACTGGATAAGTGGAATCCATAAAGCATGTGTCCCTCTGTATACAGCATTTTATTCATATTTTAAATGTTTTTACCATGGATTTATTTTCAAGTGTAATAAGGAATTGGGCTGTCAATATTTGTATCACAGAAAGTGTTGAATATTGGTATACACGTATATTTGTGTTACTAATATGAGTTCAAATATTATATTACTGTATTTGAACAATAAAAATACAATTTTTGCTATTATATATAATGTTTGTTTATTGTGTAGTAACTTATCTCCATTTTTGTGCACCATAATGGCCTGGCGAGAATTACAGTGGAACCTCGAATGACGAGCGGCTCTATCTACAAGCATTTCGAGTAACAAGCGAGACACTCGCCGAAAATTTGTCTCTACTGACGAGCTTTTGCTCTATTAACGAGTGAAACCACATGGTGCTCCCTAGCATTTTTGCTGGTTCTCACAAATTCTCGGACGCCTCCGATGACATTGTTGCATGCGCAGGACAAGCATCCCTCGGCATTTATTTGTGCTTTTCTTTGTTTTGTTTTTTTGTTTTTTGTGACTAATTTGTAATGCACAATGTTGCCAAAGAAGCCTCTTGCTCAAGATAGTGTTGTCAAGAGGAAGAAAGACAATTGCTGTGGATTTGAAGAAGGAAATTACAGCAAAGCACGAGCGTGGTGTCTGTGTGACTGATCTTGCCAGGGAGTATGGCAGGTCCTCCTCAACAATTTGCACCATTTTAAAGAGGATATTGTTGCTCTGGGGCACACTTTGGGTCTGGAGTTGGATGCTGCTGATGTGCAGGAGTTAGTGGAGGAGCACAGTGAGGAACTGACCACTGAGCAACTCCTGGAACTTCAGAAGCAGCTGAGCCAAGAGGTACAAAGAGCTCTCATCAGGGAAGGAGGAGGTAAGGAAGGATGCTGCTGCCTCTTCCAGTGAGATCAGGGAAGTGTAGTGAATGTTTGATAAATACATTCTTAGCAAAAGTAGAGAAAAGACGAACAAGTGATAGTGAACCACAATCCGGTCTCAGTGGGATGAAATTCCCAAGAAGAGAGAGCCCGGCTGACTCAGAGGTAGATTCTCCTTCCATACCATAACCCCTCTCCTCCTTCCCACCTCCTCATCGTCTCCTTCAAGCCAGCAAAGACTTCATAAGGTAAAGTACACGTACAATTGAAAACGGTAAAACAAAACATTTATAATTACATGTGCAGTATTATATTTACAATATAAAATGTCATACAGGTATTGATGTTTTTGGACGGTGGAACGGAATAATTTTATTTCCATTATTTTAAATGGGGAAATTAGTTTCTAAAGACGAGTTTTCCACATAACAAGCTCGGTGCCAGAACAGATTACTCATTAATCGAGGCTCCACTGTACAAGAGAATCTACTAACCACAAACAATGGTCACCCGAGCACCACACACACCTTGCACCAAGTTTTAAGTACACGCAATAAACCTACTTTATTTGTACTGCATTTCTATTGATAATAATTTGTTTGTTTTTCAAGTGGAATGATGTATTGGGTTATCAATAATGTTATTTGTATCAAAGAACACGTAGATCATAGGTACACACCAATTGCTTTGCATCACTAATATGCGCACATTATATTCTTTGGACAATAAAACAGTTTTTGCTGTTACTACACCCCACACACACACCTATCTACATTTTTACAAACCGTAACAAACCACAAAGTAACTCTGGTGGCTATGACAATGAAATCGAAGCACACTATAGAGCCACATGCTACGAGCAGACACCCCCACACGACTCTGCAAAACCATGAATATGAATCATTTCCACAAGCTGATTTTCTAAAGGTACACGATGTTACGTTTCATGGAGCAGATATGTACAAAACCTGGGCTGTGTACTGTGAACGTCTGCCTCCTGCTCTGGCCATGACTAGCATTGTGGTCATCATGTGATGAGCCACCTTGTACGTAGTTTTTATTACTGTGAGGTAATCACCTATGATACTATCATCGCAAAATAATTGCAGTCAATTCCATTCATCATTATTCAGTGATGCTATGAGCCTGACCTTCACAGCTGTGCTACGAGCTCCTGCTGCATGAGGCAGCCTTAGTCACTCTGACAGTACCGAGGCTCTCACAGCCAGGAGGGATGCAGACTTGTTTTTTCCATTAATAAACATTTATCAATTTTGATTACAAAGATGTCACTAACTAGTAATTTTGAATTAAAAAAAAGCTGATGTTACACTTGTTCCTAAGTAACCGGTAAGAGATTCATCTATAATTCACAGACAGTAGTCGAGGTCATGCCGAGACTTACTTGAGAGGGGAACGTAGCTTTCATCCGTGGTCTGGAAGCGCCACTTAAGTACACCAACATCTGTGTTATGAGGGAATGGTTTGTTCGACATCTTCATCCCTATCTGGCCACACGAGCGCCACAGATCACGGTCCACATTTGGATGAGTCTGTAGCTGAATAGGTCTTGTGTCTGTGTTATCAACCTATAAATAAGGAGAAAACCATACCGCATAACTGCCAATGTCATGTTGTATTGTACATTGTAAATTTAAAAGTATCAAATGTCCCTTGCAAAGATAAAGAAAGCACTTTCCAACCCATTATGCAGCCTCCCACACACATGTACACCCCAAGTGAGGTGCTGGAGGAACTATTAAACTATCACATCACTGTCCAAAGTGTGTCCCAACTTTCCTTAACTTCATATCTGCCAAATACATTTAGTAGCTATACAAGGAATAAAGTACAGTATTAATTTGACACTAATTGGGGGAACCACCTCACCTGAACCTTCACAAAGCCATGTTCGGAGTCGGTGATGCGTAACTTTAGTATGCCTTGAACTTCCATGTTTTGTAAGCCTCCGTCCCTTCCAGCTCGCACAATTAAGTCCTCTGCCATCACTATGTGTATCCTGTGGGAATGGGGAATAATTCAAAATCTTACACTATTAAATTACATTCAACAAAACAAAAATAAATTTGACCTATACAACTTCCCCCCCCCCCCTTCTTGGGCAAGATCCTGCTGTTCCCATGGACAGGATTATTTGGTTCCCATGGACAGGATTATTTGCATACAAGGCAGGTTGATATTATACATTGTGCAATACATGTGCATGGCAGGCAATACCTCTAAGAAAAATTTAATTCAACTCAAAATTACCACTGGAAGGATCATTCAACTACACACTTTTAACACTTTCGCCCGGGCATGACGCAGCATTGCGTCATCCACTTTAAATAATCGCCAAAAATCAGGTTTTTATCCGATTTTTTGGGGACTGGTTTTAAAATGCACGCCGATGTCTTCCCATTTTCTTTGTTGAGCCTCGTGGCCCTCAGGCGGCTTGGCACACGCCGTGGGCCCATTGTTTTTGCTCCACTGTTGTGACCAATGTCGCCTCCCCTTGCATCTCAAACGTGTGAACATTTCGGCTATTTTCCGTGGCTATATTTCTTACTGCTGCTTTAGAAACTATCTACGCTTACTCCACGATGGATAGTGATCATGAACAAGGCCCTTCCAGGAAGAAAACTGCGAAAGAAAGGCTTGAAAAGGGCGGGAATTGGGAGTGTAGCTGGAAGGCGTCTGAGCGCTCACTTGCGGCTAACGCATGGCCCGTCTTCAACTCGTCGGCGGTTGGAGCATGACCAGGTTTTTTATTTTATATGCTAATGTTCCTCTAGAGAATTCTATTGCGAACCCATTGAGACCAAAATGAAAGACCTAGGACGAAAATTGAGGTGACCAGAGTGAAAATAGTGAAAACATTTTATCGCGTTTGCACGCTCCTGGGTAACTCATTCGCACTTTCTCTGTTTCCTGCGGGTAATTAGCCGGGCTTTTGGAGTTTATATGCATTTAGTGCTGTAGAGAATTCTATTGCGAACACAATGATACAAAATTTAATCTCGTAGGACGAGAATTATGGTGACAAAGTTGAAGAGAGTATACACTTTTCAGAATTTACGCACGTTCCCGTGACACCCTGGGTCCCATATCGCACAGTTGAGGGGTGGCGCGCGGGGTACGCCAAAGTGTTGTTAAGAGCTACAAGACATCTAAGGGACTGCCAGGACTCACTGTCACTAATCACTAGAAGGCCTCCCCAGAGCCTCCATCAAGTGCCACTAGGGAGCACCACCTACATGTCAAAAGGAGTACCATGACACTACCCACCTGGTACTCTGCAGGTTAACAGAGACCAAATCACAAAGACCTTTGGTCTTTCCTTAGATATGTGCGTTTTGTTATGCAGTTGGCTGGTACTTTATTAGCAGACGTTCATGTGTGCGTATTGTACACACAGTTTGTGTGTTCTTCTGGATTCTTTAACCAACAAATTATAGCCTTGGCCATAGATATTCTCCTCTTTAGTTCCCACTACTCTTATGATTACAGTATTATACTTCAAACTTTCTACCGAGATGCACATTTACCTACCTGTGCTTGCGGGGGAGGGAGGGAATTATCAGTGAAAAGCACCAAGCCATTACAACTATATGGCACATGGAAGGGATCAGGATAAGGATTTGGGATGGGACAGGAGGAAGGAATGGTGCCCAACCACTTGGACGGTCAGGGATTGAACGCCGATCTGCATGAAGCAACATCGTCGTTCTACTGTCCAGCCCAAGTTGTTGGGCTTGCATGGGTTGAGCTTTGGCTCTTTGGTCCTGCCTCTTGACTGTCAATCGACTGGTGTACAGATTCCTAAGCCTATCAAGCTATAATTTCTACATTTGAAACTGTGTATGGAGTCTGCCTCCATCACATCACTTCCTAATGCATTCCATTTGTTGACTGCTCTGAATAATTCAGAACAGTTAACATATGTGTTGGGCATTAATCTTGTGTGCAGCCCCTTCACTATTCGCTAGTTTAGCTAGATGTGCCATAGAAACATCACACCTTGATAAATAGATTTTTTTCACTGAACTTTCAAAGCTTATTCTAGGAAAATAAGAGCAAGTTACATACGGCTCCACATCCACTTGAGGGGTCTTAACTGGGGTCATCTTAGAGACTGGCTCCGAAGATGACACGACACGTTCTCCTTCAGACTTGAGTTGGTCCACGAACGAGTCCACGTCTTTGGCCTTGCTGCCTAGCTTCATAGCTCGGTTGGGGCCAGACGGCTTTATGGTGGAGGACGGTCTCGTCTCCTGCAGTAACAAAAGAGGTGGTTCACATTTAAGACAAAATACGATTATTTCCATTTGCTGAATTCAACATGGAAGTGGTACACAGATTATCCTCAGTATCCCTATCCTATGTCGCGTCAAGAAACACCATGGATTCTAGTCTCAGAAATAAAGATCTCTTCCCTCTGTCTTTACCTTATCCCTTCACCATTGCAATGGGGCGAGAGTAACTGAAGCTACTCCCTTTATAAATCCCTTTGACCGTATTTACATCAAACTTATTTCAATTTAAAAAGGTGCAAGCAAACTTAATTCAAAAGTAATTTATATAATATTTTCATAAATAAAATATTTGAGTTAGACAATTGTGTGTTATTGCCACATTCACTCACTTTAATTACATGAGAAAAGATTAATCAGGAGAACTAGGATAGATGCAACAGAATTTAGGTACAAGACCAAGGACAAACAGACACCCAGACTTACATACTACAGTGGATTGTACAACTGATACCAGATTAGTGTGTTAGATCTGCATTTTGGTCTAACAAAGCATTTTAATTCTCAACATTTTAATCCACACACATCTGTTAGGTTGGTAGGAGACGGTACATTTTTAATACAGGATTATACAGGTGACAAGTTAATTCAGCTCCTAAAATGATGTGTGTACTTATTAGCGACTATTTGGTCAAACAAAAAAGTACCCAAAGAAGTTCATTTTGTATTACTGAATTAGCCCAAATGACAATGTATTAAGAAAATGGAAAAGCGACTAAATAGCCTAATCTGTCCACGTAATCATAGGTCAAATATATACTATCTTAGGCCTAATATAGTATAAATGTGCTATACTAGGCCAAGAATATTTAAGTTTGGTTTTTGGCATCTTTTTCACATCCTCTACAAAATAAATGGTACAAAATGTGAAGTGTTGTCTGCAACAATATTTTGTACAGTCAACCAAATAGTCGTAAGTGCCATCCTTTTAGGGGGACAGGTTGTCCGTGCAACATTTTATTTGATTCACCACTGCACTGGCCACTCCTGGGGGGCCATTTACCTTTACTTTCCCATTGTTTTGGGAAGCCCTATAACCACTGAATGCATATGCAGGTTAACCTTGTGATAAGTCCACACACACACAATATTGTGCAGTAAAAACTAGTAGAGATTATAATGAAATGCCTCTTTCTGGGGAAGTCTCATGGCTGCCCTATTGCTAACAACACTGAAACAGCTCCTCACCAAAAAGAGACGGAGAGAGCAGGGAATACTAGTACACATCACTGTCACAGAGATATCAAGCACTACAAAGAAACCGAGTAAAACAGACAAGATCAAGAGGAAGTGAGCACCGCCTGCCAACATGCGAGTCGAGAAGCAAAAAAAAACGCGAAACCACATCCCGTGGTGCGAACCGCTTCAACAAGGCAGACAACGCATGCGCCGCCAAGGGCACCGCATCAGATCCAGAGGCGGCCCGAAGAGCCTCCACATCCACTTCAATCCAGTCCGAGGGCAGCTTGAGGAGGGAGAAGAATCGTAGGGCCGAAGTCAGCAGGCCAGGAGCGTGTAAATCCTCCGTGACCAATGCAGCCAAAAGGGAAGGAACCTGCACATGAAGCTGCATCACACCAACATTCTGTGGAAGGGCAGGAGCAAACAAGCACGCACTGAGATGCTCAAAGTCGCCCCCCCCCCCAAGGAGGGGGCAGACAGAACCAAAGTCGAAGCCACTCCCACCCCCAAATCAGAGTTCTTATAACCCAAACGGGGCAGTCTCAGGGCTTCCAGGGAAGCAACGAACCTATCGCGTTGCAGCAACCTAAACCGAGCACGCAACGCCTTGGCTGCCTGCACCCGCATGTCATGATCAGTAGCTAGGGTGAACTGGAGTACGTACAAACAACAAACGTTGCATGACTCCGGGTCAAAAGGATCACCGACCCTACAGGCAGCATGGTGGAGGCATAACCGGTGATTGTCACTCATAGACAAAGGGACAGAACATCTGAAAACCTCGCATGAAGCAAGAGGGGACTCGGGGGGAGGGGGGGTCGCATCCATCAGACCAAGGAGCCCCCCGTGAGGTTCCCACTACTAACACACTAAGTTAGCACACTAAGGGAAGCCCAGACCATGCAAAAGGTACATATATCAGGGTACAGCTAACCGGCACCCCAAAACTACAAAGCAAACTGCTAAAAGCTGCACCTCCAGGACATATACACTCGTGAGGGCCTAGCAGAGGACCATAAAAAAATTTGTATGACCAACCAAGAGGCAGACCCTCCACCAGGCAGAGAAAATAAAAAGAAAAAGAAAGCCCTCACAAGAGGACAATGTGCCCAGGCGGAACAGAGCCAGTGTCTATGAGTGGTGATAAGCTGCGCTATACCCTGCGCCCCAACCAGTGAAGAAAACTTCCCTCCCCCCCCCCCACCCGGAGGCAAATGGGTAAACAAAAACCCTAGCCGACTCCAAGGGCAGTCCATCACCAAGCAGTAAAAGACAGCTGAGGTAGACCCCAAGGTGACTTGTGGAAGGTGGCCCCAAGCCCCAAGAATGGTACTTACAGGACACCTAGGGAAGGAAACCCTAGGCGCATGCAGCCCGAGTACTTGAAGAATAATACTTCTGGCTCGCACACCAACCGTAGAGACAGGAGGGCACCACAAGGCACGAAAACAGACTAGCAGACTAAATCTGGAGCCAAAGGCACACAACCTTGCCAGCAACACATCAGCCAAGAACTAAAGGGTGAATCGCCAGCTCGAGGGTCTGGGGCTCTCCCCTTCCCCCTCCCGAGGAGGGGGGGGGGTTGCGCAGACAGTGGCACAGCATTGTGATGACGTCATGCTAGTTTGCTAATTTTAATTTGGGGAGTTCTGTCTACTCGTTCGACTTTCGAGAGCAATATTTTCACCAGAATAGGGGTTTGTTTTGGGGCGCCTACCTTTCTGGGTGCCAGACACGGTCGATGGCAGACGTAGAATTCTCCCATCCATACTGGGGTTTCTATAGGCCATTGCTCCTCGTGCCTCTCAGAGGGGGGCCAGGTTCTGGCTCGTGGTCCCCAAAGGACAAGAACTCCATGCACAATGACTGATGCCAGAAAGCCAATACAGTATATCCTTATCAGCCTGGATAGCTCTGGGGAGCCCCGTCAGCTCCCCCAGAGACGACAGAGAGCCGACACCCCCCAGAAAAAATTCATTACACTATCTTTATTTTTGTAAATGGCAGTGCATACAGTATCTGATGAAAGAAAGCATCAGTTAACACTATCGGTAACTTTGGACCGGACTCTCGTCCATTATTTTTCTCCCGAGTCCTAACTTTGGACCGGACTTGCGTCCACTACAAAAATATTTGTATAAAATTCATTTTTTATCCAATCGACCTCGGGATAGTATCAAAATAAGCGCCTTTAGAATGCACACAATTTGATACCAAAATGAAAGATGTAACATGAAACTTGATGTCTGAACACTTATATGATTATAAATAGGTTTTTGGTCAAAATTTTAAAATATTTGTTAAAATTCTATTTATTGTGCTATTATGTTGGGACTAGTTTTAAAATGCGCGCCTTTACGTCGCAAAAAATTTGATACCAAAATGAAAGATGTAACACAAAAATTTATGTCAGAACACTGGAAAGATATAAATAATTTTGTGATGATGAGCTTCCAGAATTAATATATGTTAAAATTCCAGTTATTGCTCTATTATTATGGGACTAGTTTTAAAATACGTGCCTTTTTATTGCGAACAATTTGATACCAAAATGAAAGACGTAACACGAAAATTGATGTAATCAAACTGAACGAGTATACACATTAGGTTGCAGTGTACAAATTGGTGCTCGTTCACGGAAAACTTTAGCTTTTCTGCGGGGAGGCACTCCAGGCTTTTGTACATTATATTCATACACATCTCTAGGGAATTTAATTGCGAACATAATGATACCAAAACGAGCGACGTAGCACGAGAATTAAGGTGAGAAAAATGGAACGAGTATAAACATTTTACTGATTTTGTGCGCTCACGGGTAACTTTTACCGACTTTAGGCTTTGCTGTTGGGAGTCACGCCAGGCATTTGGACATTATATTTATACACACCTGTAGGGAATTTAATTGCGAACACAATGATACCAAAACGAACGATGTAGCACCAGAATTAAGGTGAGAAAACTGAAACAAGTGTACACATTTAGGCGTCACTGCACGCTCGCCCGCACCATTGGGGCCATGACGTCAAAGTCTGCGGTGCGCTCGTGGGGTGCGCGATAGTGTTAACACTTTGTGCTGGTAACGACTCGGCATTGAGTCATCCATTTAGTAGAAATGGAAAATTGGCGGCAAATTGGGGGCGGCTTCGGGAGGGGTGCGCCGCAGTTTTGCTCTATCACTTTCTCTGTTTCCTGTGGATGGTACGCCGGGATTTTGGACTTTGTATTTGCATATACTCCTGTAGGGAATTCTATTGTGAACACAATGATACCAAAATGAAAGATCTAGGACGAGAATTGAGATGACAAAGTTGAAAATAGTATACACTTTAATGTATTACTGCGCTCTCTAATGTAATGAGTGGTGCCCGGGGGTGGCACAGCGCGCTCTAGTAACCTTGGCCCACGTTCATCTTGTCGGCAGGTGGAGCGCGCTGTGGTTTTTGACATTATATGCATATACTCCTGTAGGGAAATCTATTGCGAACTCATTGATACCAAAATGAAAGACCTAGGATGAGAATTGAGGTGACCAAAGTGAGAAGAGAGTGTACACATTTTATTGCTCTTGCGCGCTCCCGGGTAACTCGCTCTTACTTTCTCTGCTGTGGGTGGTAGGCCAGGCTTTTGGAGTTTATATGCATTTAGTCCTGTAGAGAATTCTTTTGCGAACACAACGATACCAAATTGAAAAACCTAGGACGAGAATTGAGGTGACAAAGTTGAAAAAGAGTACAGGGGTATCTCGGTTTAAGAATTTAATCCGTTCCTGGAGACGGTTCGTAACCCAAAAATTCGTAAACCGAAGCTAATTTCCCCACAAGAAATAATGGGAAATGAATTAATCCGTTCCCGACTCCCCAAAATACTTCACTTCAAAGTAAATTTTATACCTAATTCACCCAAATCTACACTACAAAAGTATGTTCAAGTTATTACTTACCCTTGCTGATGGCTCCTGTTGGCATATAGAAGATGGTGAGGAGGGGGGAGGAGGAGAGGTGTTACTGTGTGGAAGGGGAGTCCCCTTCCATTATAACATCAGGCAGTGAAGATTTCTCTGCAGTGCACCCTCTGGCATGTTTTGCCTGCATACCACTAGGTACTGGTTGTGGCTCACTGCTTAATTTTCTCACAACGAAATGATCCATTGAAGATTGTTTTTCCCTTCTTCGCAACATTTGTCTGTAGTGAGGCATCACATTGTCATTGAAAAGATTAATGCAACGGCTTTCTCTGGGCGAGTTGTTTTAATAAAAGTTTGCATTTCTTCCCACATCTGACACCACTTCCTAATTGTTGAGGAAGGGACTTTCTCTTCTGCCTCATCCTCCTCTGAAGAAATATTCCCAGCTGCCTCTTGTTGCTGCTCCTTTTCAAGGGCTTGGAGTTCTTCGGTGGTCAGTTCTTCGTTGGTCAGTTCTTCGTTGTGTTCTTCCACCAACTCCTCCACATCTGCACCATCCAATTCCAAGCCCATTTTCCAGCCCAGAGTAACAATTTCCTCAACAATAGGCACTTCATTTACAGGCTCAAACCCCTCAAAGTCTAGTTTTGGCACACATTTAGGCCACAATTTTCTCCAGCCAGAGATCAGGGTTCTTTGAGTCACTTCTTGGCAGGCTTTGTCAACGAGTTTTAAAGCACTACAAATGTTAAGATGGTGTTTCCAGAACTCTCTGAGGGCGAGGTTTGTGGCTTCAGTCCCTTCAAAACATTTCCGGAAAAGTGCCCTTTCATAAAGTTTCTTAAAATTTGCTATGATTTTCTGGTCCATAGGCTGAATTAGAGGAGTGGTGTTAGGAAGGAAGCAACTTTATTGTGAGAAAATTATATCTGTTCAACAATGCATCTTCCAAGCCTGGAGGATGAGCAGAAGCATTGTCGAGGAGAAGCAGGGCCTTGAGTGGGGCATTTCCACACGGCACAAGCGTAACCCTATCTTTCATAGGCTTGTGTCCGGGCAGTGATTTCTCCTCCTTGGTAATGTATGTCCTCTTAGGCAATCTTTTCCAAAACAGTCCTGTTTCATCACAATTAAACACTTGTTGCGGTAGGTATCCCTCAGCCTTTACAAACTCTTTAAATTCTTCAATAAATCTTTCAGCCGCTGGTTTGTCTGAGCTGGCAGCCTCCCCATGCCTCACAACACTATGAATACCACTTCTTTTTCTAAATTTGTCAAACCATCCCCTGCTTGCCTTAAAGTCTTTAGTATCTGCACTCGTTCTAGGGGTTTTCTTTACAAGGTCTTCGTGCAATACCCTGGCTTTCTCACAAATGATGGCCCCTGAAACACTATCACCCGCTAACTCCTTGTTGTGTATCCAAATTAATAACTTTTCCACATCCTTAAGTATTTGTGGTTTTTTGTTTCGTGATCATTAATACGCCTTTTGCCACTTTAGCACTCATAATGTCCTTTTTCTTGGCAAGTACAGTGCATATCGTTGACATGGATTTGTTGTACTGCCTAGCTAGTTCAACAAATCCGGCTCGTAACCCGAAAAGTTCGTAAACAGGGACGTTCGTAACCCGAGGTACCACAGTATACACTTTTCAGAATTACCACGCGATCCCATGGAGCACGCGGTAATGCCCGGACCCACCTGACAGTGTGGGGCTCGCTGGCGCAAAGCACAAAAGTGTTAAACAATTATGATGACTTAAAAGGGAAATGTATTGGAATAGATACTGTATACCTTTGTTGGATTTTTATACTGTAATCACATGCACATTACCTGTGTAGAGGCTGTGATGGTTTCGGTAGGTGTCGTGAAGCCTCCCGAGCCACCTCCAAATCCTCCCGACATGCCAAAACCTCCAGTGTTTCCACCAGAATAACCCTGGTTCTTGCCACCTCTCTTTTGTTCTTCATAACGTTTTCGCTGAAGTTCCTTAGCCTTCTCCTACAATTTAAAATATACCGAAGTCATTAAAACCACATACCCAATTAGTACAGTATAAAATGTTTAAATTTGAAAATACAAAAAGCAGAAAACTAAATTTGGCCACTAAAATACATTAATAGGAACCCTAAGGCCGTTGAAGGACAACTTGGAACAGTTGGGCCACAAAGTGTTAACTGTAACACTTTAGGCACTTTCCATCTTTCTCCTCCTTCTGGTGAAGATATATCAAGTAGACAAGTGGCATTTTACAGTAAAGGGAAGTTTTATAAGTAGCTTAACCATCACAAACGCAATTACAAAACTATCATTTATACAAACTAACACTACTCGTATAATTCAATAGAACTGTACTTATAACAAATTAACGCTAAATTACAGAACAATTCGAAGCGCATATTTTTACCTTCATTTTGGTACGAGCCTCCCTCTCTTGAGTTTCACGAACTGCCCTATACACTTTTTCTTCGTGTGAATCCATTTCCACAAATGTTCGTATCTGGGCCAAGTTGACAGACTCGCGGTAACCCAATGCAACGATCTCGTCAAAAGCAAATATGAGGTGGAAAGAATTTTCAAGAATCTCGCTCTCCTCCATGTTGCGACAATATTCTGGGATCTGTAAAAAGGCAAACCTGTTAAGTACAGTTAATAGAATTCTATTCTTTATCCTGCTAAAATATATCTTATGAAACTCGTGCAATCAAAATTATATGAAAAAATAAAAAGTAACAAAATAGTTTACAAAAGATAAATAGGATATTTGAAGGAGTGTTTTTGACCCAATGAATGATTATTAGTACAAGTTAATTTTTTAAGATATTTGACAATGCAGACTACCTTGGCTTCAACAATTCGGATGCTTACACAGACATACAGTACTATGCTACATAGAAAAAAAACTTTAAATTACCACACGGGAAAAGAGTCTCAGTGTCTCCAGATCTTCCAAAATGTTCGATGCTCGAGTTGTGATAAGCAGCATGTAGAGTCTATCCAAGGGCTGATAAACATAGCGGACCGATTCTGTCTCCACGAAGGTGTGCTGTCGCCCAGTAGTCATCAGCTTGGGAAACGCTGCCAGAAGGCCTTCAATGCGAGATTTGGTCATCTCGACAAACTGGCGCGACACCAGAGCTTTGCCGCTCTTGGTGCAGACTGCTGCAGCCAGCAACACCTGTGGAATTCAAGCGAATTTTAAAACTCAACATGAAAGATGTTACCAGTCAATCATCATAACACTTAACGTGACCAACACAACCAAAATTAAATTAAAAATTTAATGATGTGCTTTACTCGGTTGAAACTTTGTTTTCAGTCATAATCTGATTATATATATTCTTAAAAGGGAGTCCCCAATTTACAATTGAGACAAGTTCCTAATTTGCCACCTTAAATCCATCGGTAAGAACACTGAACACTATTTTCCATAGGCGCAATGCTATACTGTATGAGCACTATATATTGGCAGATTTAAAATTAATTTAACCCTTAGACAGTGGCTATTATGAAATGGTCATTGCTGCCTATGTGTAAAAAAAAAACAGCGTTAAATGTAATGAAACGCCGTTTTCTGGGCGAGACCTGGAGGCTTCCCGGAGCTATCCTGGGCTAAAGTGTCAATATTAGACTGAGGACTGAGACAACAGTCAATCGATTAAGTTCTTAGCCTACCGGGGACCACAAGCCAGAACCTGGCCCCCTCAGAGAGGCAGAAGGAGCAATGGCCTATTGACACCCCCCCCCATGTAATTGGAAGCAGTCTATGTCTGCCATCTACCAGGTCAGGCACCCTGAAAGCTAGGAATCCCAAAACAAACTGGTTAAAAATTGTAAAACGAAAGCCAAATGAGCAGGCAGAACTCCCCCATTAGAAAATAAGCAAACAAGCATGACATCACCACAGCCGCCACATCGATGCAACAGCTACAAAAGGCCGATTCAAAATTTGGAGCAACAGGCAGGAGTAAAAGGTCAGGTGCTTCAGTGGATAAGGGAGTATCTAAGCAAGAGGAAACAGCGAGTAACTGTGAGTGGGGGGGGAGATATCAGAGTGGCGAGATGTCACCAGCAGTCCCACAGGGCTCTGTACTTCGACCCATCCTGTTTCTAATATACATATGTAAACGACCTTTCAAAGGATAGACTCATTCCTCTCAATGTTTGCTGATGATGCAAAAATTATGAAGAAGAATCAAGACAGACTTAGATAGACAGAGACTACAGGACGACCTGGACAAACTGGTGGAATGGTCTAGAAAATCTCTACTAAAGTTCAACTCGGGAAATTGTAAAGTAATGAAATTAGGCGAAGCGAACCGAGAGCTGAACACAATGTACCATCTGGGAGGTGATATCCTGCAAGAGTCAAATAGAGAAAGATCTGAGGGGTTGATATTACACCGAACCTGTCCCCAGAGGCCCACATCACAAGGATATCAGCAGCAGCATATGCTAGACTGGCCAACATAAGAACTGCCTTTAGAAACTTGTGCAAGTAATTGTTCAGGACCTTGTATATCACTTATGTAAGACCAATCCTGGAGTATGCAGCTCCATCCTGGATTCCATACCTAGTTAAAACACAAGATAAAGTTAGAGTCTCCATGGTGTAGTGGTAAGCCTGGCGTTCCGCGAGCGCTATGTCATGGGTTCGTATCCTGGCCGGGGAGGATTTACTGGGCGCAATTCCTTAACTGTAGCCTCTGTTTAACGCAACAGTAAAATGTGTACTTGGATGAAAAAAACGATTCTTCGCGGCAGGGGATCATATTCCAGGGACCATAGGATTAAGGACTTGCCCGAAACGCCACGCGTACTAGTGGCTGTACAAGAATGTACAACTTTTTTTTTTTTTTTTTTTTTTTTTTTTTTTGAGATATACACAAGAGAAGATTCAGAGGTACGCCACCAGACTAGTCCCAGAACTGACAGGTATGAGCTACGAGGAACGGCTAAGGGAGCCGAACCTCATATCCCTGGAAAACAGAAGAGTAAGTGGAGACATGATAACCACCTACAAAATTCTCAGGGGAATTGACAGGGTGGATAAATTCTTTAGCAAGGGTGGAACACGAACAAGGGGACAAGTACCACAGGGTTCAGTTCTTGCACCGGTAATGTTCATTGTCTACATAAACGATCTACCAGTTGGAATACAGAATTATATTACAGTAACATGTTTGCTGATGATGCTAAGATAATAGGGAAGATAAGAAACCTAGATGATTGTCATGCCCTTCAAGAAGACCTGGACAAAATAAGTATATGGAGCAACACTTGGCAAATGGAATTTAATGTGAATAAATGCCATGTTATAGAATGTGGAATTGGAGAACATAGACCCCCACACAACGTATAAATTATGTGAGAAATCTTTAAAGAATTCTGACAAAGAAAGGGATCTAGGGGTGGTTCGAGAGAGAAAACTGTCACCTGAGGACCACATTAAGAACATTGTGCGAGGATCCTATGCTACACTTTCTAACTTCAGAATTGCTTTTAAATACATGGATGGAGAAATACTAAAGAAATTGTTCACGACTTGTTAGACCAAAGCTGGAATATGCAGCAGTTGTATGGTGCCCATATCTTAAGAAGCACATCAACAAACTGAAAAAGGTGCAACGACATGCCACTAAGTGGCTCCCAGAACTGAAGGACAAGATCTACAAGGAGAGGGTAGAGGCATTAAATATGCAAAAACTAGAAGATAGAAGAAAAAGAGGCGATATGATCACTACGTACAAAATAATAACAGGAATCGATAAAATTGATAGGGAAGAAAATCGAGACGGTTGGAACAAGTTAGGTGAGAAGGTGGTAGAGGCCAAAACCATCAGTAATTTCAAAGCGTTTTATGACAAAGAATGCTGGGGAGACGGGACACCAAGAGCGTAGCTCTCATCCAGTAACTACACTTAAGTAATTACACTTAGGTAATTACAGGTGGAAACTTAGTACCCATATGAGCCACAGAGACATTAGAAAAACTTTTTTTCAGTGTCAAAAAAAAAATTCAGTGTACTTAACAAATGGAATGCATTAAGTAATGATGTGGTAGAGGCAGATTCCATACAAAGTTTCAAATGTAGATATGATAGAGCCCAGTAGGCTCAGGAATCTGTACACCAGTTGATTGACAGTTGAGAGGCGGGACCAAACAGCCAGGGCTCAACCTCTGCACACACACAACTAGGTAAGTACAACTAGATACGTACCGCTGTCTGAACAGCTCCCCCCCCCTCCCTGGAGAGGGAAGGGGGAAGCCCCAGACCTCCCGCACCAGCTACCCAACCCAAGTTCAGAGGATGAATATAAAAAAACAGGAAAAATGCCAAACAGAGGGAGGGAGGGAGGGAGGGAGGGATGCCAGGGAGCCTCCGGGTCTCGCCCAGAAAATGGCAATTCATTACATTCAATGCTGGTTTTCTGTGAAGACCTCCTTCAGCTCCCCGGAGCTACCTAACCAAAGAATAAGGAAAATAGGGACTTACCTGGGAGGCAGCCGCCACTTGCTCTTCAACTCAAAGTCGATACAACTAGCTGCAATCTGTGACTCAAGGTTATACATGCCCAAGAAGGACCAGGAACATTAAAGAGGTACCATGCGGCCAGGACCCTGTTCAACCTCCAGAAACCCTGTGCCCGAATGTCAGCCCAACACACATTACCAAAAACAGCAGCCAACGCCTCGAACTTACGAACATCATGGGCACGGGGATAGACTGCTGGCTAGTTGGACCAAATAATCCTGCGGACAACCTGGGAGACCCACGCCCTGGAACAGGGAAGAAGGTAAACTGGGTCAACCCAAAGCGCGTACCCGGCCACGGAGGCCGTGGAGCGCAAGTAACGTTGAAAAACCGCAACCGGATACAAAAAAATGATGCACCCCTCGTTGAACCAACCAAGCATCAACAGCCCAAGGACCCCTTCGGAAAGCAGCAGTCTCATTCTTCGTCAGAAAAGGAGAAGACAGCTGCAAACAAACAAAACCACCACCAGGCTTGAAAGAGTAGAAACCCCTGCGCCGGAGAAAAGCATGAAGTTTCCTGACCCCAACCCCCAGAGGCCAATGCCAACAAGAAAAGAGCCTTAGACAAAACGACAACCCTTACAAGAGCTCAATCGATGAGCAGCCGGCACTGCGCCGACCAGAAGCCAATTACTCCGCAGGAGGGGCTGGCCCCAAATCTGGTACCACTGACTAACGATGACCGAAGGAACCCCGAGCCCTGGCATGACCCTTCCCCCACCACCCCTCCCCCACAGAGAACCAACAAGTTCAACATAGGCCAGCAACTAAACGAAGCTGCCTACAGAAAATGCACCACCACACAGACTGCAAACAGCAACTGACAAAAAAGCGAACGAAAATCTAAGAACCAGAGCCCAAGCAGATTCCAAAGAATCGATGAGCATCGCCTGTCGGCATGCGAAGCAAGAAGCAAAGAACACATACACTGCTTCCTTTAGAATAGGCGCAAACAACTTCAACAGGGCAGCCGACGCACGAGCCAATCCGAGCGCCTCCCCCACCTGCCACCCGAGCCGAGCGCCACCCCCCACCTACCACCCGAGCCGAGTCGAGCGCCACCCGCCACCTACCACCCAAGCCGAGCACCACGCCCCACCTACCACCCGAGCAGAGGAGAGCCGAGCACCACCCCCACCTGCCACCCGAGCCAAGCCGAGCGTCACACATACCTGCCACCTGGGCCAAGCCGAGCGCCACTCCCACCTGCCACCTGGGCTGAGCCAAGCGCCACGCCCACCTGCCACCCGGGCCGAGCCGAGTGCCACACCCGCCTGCCACCCGGGCCGAGCCGAGCGCCACACCCGCCTGCCACCCGGGCCGAGCCGAGCGCCACACCCGCCTGCCACCCGGGCCGAGCCGAGCGCCACACATACCTGCCACCCGGGCCGAGCCGAATGCTACCCCACCTGCCACCCGAGCCGAACCGAATGCCGCCCCCACCTGCCACCTGAGCCAAGCCAAACGCCACCCTCACCTGCCACCTGAGCCGAATGCCACTCCCACCTGCCACCCGGTTGAGTCGAGCGCCACCCCCACCTGCCACCTGAGCCGAGCGCCACACCCACCTGCCACCCTAGCCAAGTGCCATCCCCCACCTGCCACCCTAACCGAGCTGAGCGCCACGCCCCACCTGCCACCCGAGCCTAGTGCCATGCCCCACCTGCCACCCGAGCCTAGTGCCACACCCCACTTTCCACCCGAGCGGAGCACCATCCCCCACCTACCACCCGAGCAGAGCCAAGCCCCACCTGCCACCCAAGCAGATACGAGCACCTCGCCCACCAAGCCGATTCGAGTGCCTCGCTCACCTACAACCCGAACCGAGTGCCACCCCCACTTGCCACCTGAGCAAAGCCGAGCGCCACGCCCACCTGCCACTCAAGCCGAGCGCCACGCCCACCTGCCACCCAAGCCGAGCGCCAACCTGCCACACACACCACAACCACTTGCCATACAAACCACAAACACCACACCAACCTGCCACACAAACCACAAACACTTGCCACACAAACCACAAACACCACACCAACCTGCCACACCAACCACAACCACAACACCAACCTGCCACACAAACCACAACCACCACACCAACCTGCCACACCAACCACAACCACCACACCAACCTGCCTGCCACACAAACCACAACCACAACACCAACCTGCCTGCCACACAAACCACAACCACAACACCAACCTGCCACACCAACCACAACCACCACACCAACCTGCCACACAAACCACAACCACCACACCAACCTGCCACACAAACCACAACCACCACACCAACCTGCCACACAACCACAACCACAACACCAACCTGCCACACAAACCACAACCACAACACCAACCTGCCACACAAACCACAACCACCACACCAACCTGCCACACAAACCACAACCACCACACCAACCTGCCACACAAACCACAACCACAACACCAACATGCCACACAAACCACAACCACAACACCAACCTGCCACACAAACCACAACACCAACCTGCCACACAAACCACAACCACCACACCAACCTGCCACACAAACCACAACCACCACACCAACCTGCCACACAAACCACAACCACCACACCAACCTGCCACACAAACCACACCCACCTGCCACACAAACCTGCCACACAAACCACAACCACCACACCAACCTGCCACACAAACCACAACCACCACACCAACCTGCCACACAAACCACAACCACACCCACCTGCCACACAAACCTGCCACACAAACCACAACCACCACACCAACCTGCCACACAAACCACAACCACCACACCAACCTGCCACACAAACCACAACCACCACACCAACCTGCCACACCAACCTGCCACACAAACCACACCCACCTGCCACACCAACCCGCCACACAAACCACAACCACCACACCAACCTGCCACACAAACCACAACCACAACACCAACCTGCCACACAAACCACAACCACCACACCAACCTGCCACACAAACCACAACCACCACACCAACCTGCCTGCCACACAAACCACAACCACCACACCAACCTGCCTGCCACACAAACCACAACCACCACACCAACCTGCCTGCCACACAAACCACAACCACCACACCAACCTGCCTGCCACACAAACCACAACCACCACACCAACCTGCCTGCCACACAAACCACAACCACCACACCAACCTGCCTGCCACACAAACCACAACCACCACACCAACCTGCCTGCCACACAAACCACAACCACCACACCAACCTGCCTGCCACACAAACCACAACCACCACACCAACCTGCCTGCCACACAAACCACAACCACCACACCAACCTGCCTGCCACACAAACCACAACCACCACACCAACCTGCCTGCCACACAAACCACAACCACCACACCAACCTGCCTGCCACACAAACCACAACCACCACACCAACCTGCCTGCCACACAAACCACAACCACCACACCAACCTGCCACACAAACCACAACCACCACACCACACCTGCCACACAAACCACAACCACCACACCAACCTGCCTGCCACACAAACCACAACCACCACACCAACCTGCCTGCCACACAAACCACAACCACCACACCAACCTGCCTGCCACACAAACCACAACCACCACACCAACCTGCCTGCCACACAAACCACAACCACCACACCAACCTGCCTGCCACACAAACCACAACCACCACACCAACCTGCCTGCCACACAAACCACAACCACCACACCAACCTGCCTGCCACACAAACCACAACCACCACACCAACCTGCCTGCCACACAAACCACAACCACCACACCAACCTGCCTGCCACACAAACCACAACCACCACACCAACCTGCCACCACACAAACCACAACCACCACACCAACCTGCCTGCCACACAAACCACAACCACCACACCAACCTGCCACACAAACCACAACCACCACACCAACCTGCCACACAACCCACACCACCAACCTGCCACACAAACCACAACCACCACACCACCTGCCACACAAACCACAACCACCACACCAACCTGCCACACAAACCACAACCACCACACCAACCTGCCACACACAACCACAACCACCACACCAACCTGCCACACACAAACCACAACCACCACACCAACCTGCCTGCCACACCACAACCAACCTGCCCACAAACCACAACCACCAACCTGCCACAACCACAACCACCACACCAACCTGCCTGCCACACAAACCACAACCACCACACCAACCTGCCCACACAAACCACAACCACCACACCAACCTGCCTGCCACACAAACCACAACCACCACACCAACCTGCCACACAAACCACAACCACCACACCAACCTGCCACACAAACCACAACCACAACACCAACCTGCCACACAAACCACAACCACAACACCAACCTGCCACACAAACCACAACCACAACACCAACCTGCCACACCAACCACCACACCAACCTGCCACACAAACCACAACCACCACACCAACCTGCCACACAAACCACAACCACCACACCAACCTGCCACACAAACCACAACCACCACACCAACCTGCCACACAAACCACAACCACCACACCAACCTGCCACACAAACCACAACCACCACACCAACCTGCCACACAAACCACAACCACCACACCAACCTGCCACACAAACCACAACCACCACACCAACCACAACCACCACACCAACCTGTCACACAAATCACAACCACCACACCAACCACAACCACCACACCAACCTGTCACACCAACCACAACCACCACACCAACCACAACCACCACACCAACCACAACCACCACACCAACCTGCCACACAAACCACAACCACCACACCAACCACAACCACCACACCAACCTGCCACACCAACCACAACCACCACACCAACCTGTCACACAAACCACCACACCAACCTGTCACACAAACCACCACACCAACCTGCCACACAAACCACAACCACCACACCAACCACAACCACCACACCAACCTGCCACACAAACCACAACCACCACACCAACCTGACCCCCAGAGGCCTACGGGACTGGCCGGGTGACCCCACAACACACACAGACAGACCTGGGGTCAAACCTCTCTTTATCTTGACCCGCAAGCGGCAGCAGCGGCCTCCAGAGACGGCCGCTGCCGCACGCGGCACTCACCATGATCAAGGGCGAGGTGGAGGCGGTGTGGTGGAGTAGGAGGAGGAGCCGCGGGTCCCGGAGACCAGTGTGGAGGGTGACGTTGTTGTGCCCAGGGCGGCGGAACACTCCGATTCTCCCCCGCGAGCTGACGTGTCCACTCGCTCCTGTGCCGCCTTTGGCCTTATTCTGGTATGTATTTCTAGCCTCCGGCGTGGTCGCCTCGTGTAACAATTTATCGTCGATGGCTGTCAGTTGCGCACAGTAGCGTGCGTGGCTCGAGAAATGATTTTTACATTAATATGGTTTTTGGGGAAACTTCGATTTTGCAGTAGCTGTCACTTATATGTGTTCGGATGTGTTTCCGCCGACTTTGGCTTCATTTTGAAACATCTCATAAGCATTTGTCGATTATATAATACATTTTAGGTGTTTCTAATTATTTAAGTTTACAATTTCATCAAGAATATGTGACCTAATGAGTACTCTCATGCATTACTTAGGATTATGTTTAAATGATATCAATTAGAAGGGTTAATGCCGAACAGCTTTTTTGGCCCGTTTTCCCTTGAGTTGACAAGTTTTAGTTAGTTCCTGAATTTACTTTAATTTACCTGAGAAGCCATTAACACTCTAGTGGCCTCGAGGAGGACAGGACGCCTGCGGCTTGTCAAATGTCCCCCCCCCCTCCCCCATTTGCCCTTATGTTTTTGTTCCAGCTGAATTTTGGTATTTACGGCTTCGGCGGGTAGGCGGTTATAATCCTGTGGGTGAAACTCCATCTCCTTCTTCTTCGCGATAAGTGTAGTTTGCATGAAGTTTTGTCCTCCTGGGGACTGCACGAATGGTGATGTTGAAAGATGTGACACAGTGGCGCGTCAGGGATGTCAATGATCATAATTTGGCAGAGATTGGAACTTGTCGATATAATAAATAAATAAATAAATAAATAAATGTTTATTTAGGTAAGGTACATACATAAAGAGATTTTACAAAGTTTGTTGGGTTAAGTCGTACTCTAGGAATATCAAAACTGTATTTATTTCTGGTGTGGTGCTCATGGGTTCTGTTACAACCTTCAATGAATCTTTTGAGGTCAGGATTGGCATTACAGTTCAGCGTTTTATATATGTATAATACACATGAGAGAATGTGCAATGACTTAATATCTAACATATTCAGAGATTTGAGTAGGGGTACCGAGTGATGTCTGGGGCCAGAGTTGGATATTGTCCTAATAGCAGCTTTGTGTTGAGTAATTAGAGGACGTAAATGATTTTGGGTAGTAGAACCCCAAGCACAAATACCATAGTTGAGATATGGATACAATACAATACAATACAATACAATTTTATTTAGGTAAGGTACATACATACAATAAATATTTACAAGGATTGTTTAACTTATAGGTATAGCTAGTACATACAATGCCTAAAGCCACTATTACGCAAAGCGTTTCGGGCATGATAAACTTAAATGACAAGCTTAATACTAATTGAACATAATGAGTAGAATGAAAACAAGAAATGAAAACATAGATGAAAAAGCAGCACAAATACAATTATGTCGACAAACAGCGCTCTTTAAAGAAAAAAACAGACATTGGTTGACAATAGAAGGGTAAGGTAGGTTACAGGGAATTTATTAGGTATAGCTTCGCTTTTAACTTAAACTGGTTGAGAGAGGTACAGTCTTTAACATGGTTGGGAAGGTCATTCCACATTCTGGGCCCCTTGATTTGTAGAGCATTTCTAGTTTGATTAAGTCGTACTCTAGGAATATCAAAACTGTATTTATTTCTGGTGTGATGCTCATGGGTTCTGATACAACCTTCTATGAAGCTTTTGAGATCAGGATTGGCATTATAGTTTAGCGTTTTATATATGTATAATACACATGAGAGAATGTGCAGTGACTTAATGTCTAACATATTCAGAGATTTAAGTAGGGGTACCGAGTGATGCCTGGGGTAGATGATGGATAGTGATGATGGATAGTGATGATGGATGGTAGATGATGGATACCGAGTGATGCCTGGGATAGATGAGGGAGTAATAGAGAGTCACCAGGGCAGGGCGAGGAACATAATATCTGATCTTAGAAAGAATGCCAACAGTTTTTGAAACTTTTTTTGATATATTTAGGTTGTGTCCCTGGAAATTCAGCTTGTTATCGATGAGGACATCAAGGAATTTACCATCAACTTTACTACTGATTTGAATATTGTTTATTCTTAGATTAATTTCATTTGAGGATTTATTACCACACAAAATACAGAAAATTTTGTCAATGTTAAGGGTGAGTTTGTTAGCAGTTAGCCAAAGATGGACTTTATTAAGTTCAGTATTCACGGTGACATTTAGAGCAAGGGGGGTCAGGACTGGAAAAAATGAAGATTGTGTCATCAGCAAATAAGATTGGTTTGAGGTGTTGGGAGGCATTTGGAAGGTCATTAATGTAGATGAGAAAGAGGAGAGGGCCAAGTATGCTGCCCTGAGGAACACCAATGTTTATGGGTAGTGTCGGAGAAATGGAATTATTCGCAGAAACATACTGGAGCCTGTCAGTAAGGTAAGACTGGAGGTATTGCAGGGAGTGTCCTCTGACCCCATAATGTAATTTAAGAAGAAGGTTTTGGTGGTTGACAGTGTCAAAAGCTTTACGTAGGTCTACAAATAACCCAACAGGGAACTCATTTTTATCAAGAGCTGCATGTATCAAGTTAATCATACAAATAAGTGCATCGTTAGTGCTTTTATTGGGTCTGAAACCATATTGGCAAGAGCTAAGTATGCTGAGTTTGGCTAGATATGAGTAAAGCTGCTTGTAGATTAGTTTTTCAAATATTTTTAACAAGGTTGGTAGAATTGATATAGGTCTGTAATTGTTGACATCAGTGAGATCACCACATTTTTCGTATTGCCCTTCTGCCTCTCTTCTCAACCTGACATATTCATTCCTGGCACTCTAATATCTTTCTCTGCTCTCCAGTGTCCTGTTATTTCTATAGTTTCTCCATGCTCTTTTACTTTGTTGCTTAGCTAGCCTACATTTCTGATTAAACCATGGGTTTCTTATCTGCATTTCGTTGTTTTCCTTTTTGAAAGGCAGCAGAACAAACTTGTCTGCTGCCTCCTTACACTTCTGCGTGATGTAGTCCATCATGTCTTGGGCAGTGTTTCCTCTGAGCCCTGTTTCGCCATGTTATATCTGTTAGGAATTCCCTTATCTCCTCATATTTTCCTTTTTGGAATGCCAGCCTTTGTTTTCAGTTCTCTTCTTCGAGTTCGTTAACCCTTCTTCAACCAGATACTCAAACGTCAGTACACTGTGGTCGTATTTCCTACCGGGGCCTCGAAACCGATATTCCTTATGTCGGAGTCGTTCAGAGTGAAGACTAGGTCAAGTCTCGCTGGTTCATCGTTTCCTCTCATCCTTGTGGGTTCTCTGACATGCTGGCTTAAGAAGTTTCTTGTCACCACCTCTTAAGATTGATTGATGAAGATTAAGCCACCCAAAAGGTGACACGGGCATGAATAGGCCGTAAGTGGTGGCCCTTTTGAGCCATTACCAGTATCAAGAGCTGATACTGGAGATCTGTGGAGGTGCGACTGTACCCTGCGTGACGGGAGATGTCTCCCGTCACCACCTCTAATAGCTTAGCTCTCCATGTATCCTCACCTCCATGCGGTTCCATGCGGTGTTTTATTGCTGTAGTTCAGTAAATTGTTTGGGCCATGTTATAATGGTTTAGATCACCGCGTGTGTTATTTACTGGTGTTCTGCAGTAATTGTCAATTGCAACCGGGTTGTAATTGTTTTTAGATCATCGAGTGTTGATTTACTGTGTTGTGGGTGAACGCGTCATTGGGACAAGTACTTGGTGGTGTTGTTATTCTGTATATTGGGTTGTTATCGAAGTCCAGTTTTCTGTGAGGGTTAATTAGTCAAGGGTAATTAACGTAACATCATCAAGGGAACACCCATTGCTTATAGAGGAATTGTCCACAAGACACTGAGTTAATGTAAGATACGTTTGGGTTAATTATTTTCCAAGGAACAGCTGTTTGGTCGGTCAAGGGATTTGGGGCCAAGCAGCCACTTCAGGGGAAGTCAGACAGTGTTGCAGGAATTCCGGGAGGGCTGAAAGCTTGCATTTAAGTACTGTCTCTTGCATATTATCTGTCAGTTGGACAGGTAATTAAGGGTTCACGGAAGTCGAGGTAATCAACTCCAATCTGAGTTTGATCGACTCACGCGAAGGCTCCATTGTTGCATTAACGTAACGTCGATTATTAAGTATCTGTCAGTTGGACAGGTAATTTGATTGACTCTCCAGAGAGTAAAGTCATTGTTAAGTACTGTAGACGTGGTGGTTAGTTATGGGTCCGTGGGATAGTGATCTAGTCACCTGGGTTCATCGGGGTGTGTAGGACCCCAGAGGGAATTAATTTCGTTGATGTTATAATTGTTGAGCCAGTGTGAAAGGTGACGTATATGTGTGTGTAATTAATTATTGAACTTCGAGGTAGTAATTGCTCAAGGTAGTCAACGGTGGTTGCCGTCCTCTTAGCACCTTGGACATAGAATTTTAGTAAAGTATCGAGTGGACGATAGTAACCGATAATGTAACTTGTGCTGGGATTAATCAGCTGTCCATAGTACAGGGATTAATGGGGATTACTCACTGAATGCTCGACGGGTCAAGTGTTTGTGTAATTCAGAGTTACGAGTGACAGTTGTACAGTTTGACTTGTCTGTGGAGGACAAAATAAGTTAACCTAAGTGTTACTATTAATATTAACGTAATCAATTAGTCATTGATTGTTGATCGTCCAAGGGACGAAGTGTTAACGTAAGAATTTAATTAAGGAGGGTTGCTGTGTAGTACCATAAAGGTGTTTAGTTTAGTTATATTTTATTTTACCAATAACATGAGTCAGCAGACGGGATATTTGAGAGGCACCAGGTTGTCTGACCTTAGTTAGTTTAGTTCATTTATTATGCACCCCATACCCATCTTGTGGGCGGTAGTAGAAAGGGTTACAGCAATTAAAAAATTACACTTCTAGAGTGTTAGTGACTACAAGTTAACCAGGGGGTCAGGTCGTGTGAATTGACCTTGCTTCTGCTAAGCTGATAATAGTAGACGGCTGACAGGGTTGGGCCCGTCAAACAAGTCACTGTTTAAGGTGTGGTAGGTAGTGAGCCTTAGACTAACTTACTTGTGGGCAGAAGTTAGCTACCAGATCCCCCATAAATACCCATGGAACTGTACAT